TGCTTTGCCTCTTGAATAATTTTTATGACATTTTAGAGGGGGTGTGGATATCAAGATTTGAAATGACACAATTAGATGCTCAGGTAAAGAAAGACAACTTTAACTTTCATGGTGGACTGGATGGGAAAACAATTTGTTATTTACGACTACGGTTAATTAAAACAAACGAGGGCTGTCTCTGTATAGGAAGAGATGCCTTCTTGGAAGACATTTTAAAGAAAACTGACTCATATTCATGTTAGAAGTGGGAAAACTCAATTCGAGATCAAAATACTAGTGTTCAGTGACGTTACTGCTCGGCCGCTTGTGGACGTTATTTATGGCTGAGGACCTATGAGCTATGTTAAATTAGGTACTGATTACCCTTTATTTTTAAATTCATTAGTTAATACTTATGATTCTTTTACTAAAAAAGCCAATTATATGCATGTATTTCTTAAAATCAGTTCACATCTTATTAACATTTTATATGCAGTTTTTATGGCATCCTTCCTTCACGTCCACTCAAATAATTTCACAGCCTAAGAACAAAATAGAATTATTTAAAATTTAATATCTATGCTTCAGTGAAATATTTATCTTTGGTTTGGTTTACTTGAAAAGCTCTCGAAGGCTATCTGCCAAAGGAGGGAGGCCTTCATGGAAAAATGTCTAAGAGAAAATGGCTTCTATACATGTTACATAATGGAAAAATCACGAAAACGTCCATGCAGCCAGCCCGGTCGCTGGGATTCGAATTGAACTACCCGTGTTCAGCCCTATTATTATTTACTGCTTGGCCATTGGTGGGCGTATCACTTTTTGAAATAATTATCATAATATTATATGTTTTAATAGACATCAATAACAATCAATGCTTACTCTTGAGATTTACATTTGCAGTGATGTTAATTTCGTAATTAATACTCTTGGCTCTGTGCCTAAGAGCAGTAAAGCTTCAATTGAGAACTTTTTAAGCGGAACTGGCTCATATTTCCGTAATTAATACAAATGTGGTAATATTATTCTTGTCACTGTCAATGATACCAATCATACGATTTGGTATTCACTTTCGGAGCAAAAATACATTGAGAAAGAAATCAATTTGGGGACAAATAAAAAAGAATTGATGAAATAAGTATTATAAAAAAGCAAAATTATTTTATATCTGGGTCATTTGTTACCATTTACTTTGTGTTTTAATATCTTTTCATATTTTATTTCAGTATTGCTTTATTAATTCTTAAATATTTTGTAAAATGCAAAAAATTTGTGAAATTCATATTTTCTTTCAATTCTAAATATAATTTTCTTTCCCAGTTCTAAAAATGTATTCTTGATATTATAGAGTAACAAAAAGATACAGTATTCACTAAATCAATGTGCAATTATCGTTAATTAAAGTGCATTTTGGTAGTAGATTCCTGATAGTTGTAATGTACACATGCTTCAAAAAGATTCAAAAAGATTGCACGACTAAACAATTTTTTCACCGTTCTGGGCAGAACCATGGTTTTCCAATTTCAAATAAATAAATAAATAAATAAAAATAAAATAGGCTTCAGCACAACGACAGTTTTTTGACTCATTTTATTACAAATGTATGAAGCAAATTTCTTTTCGTTCTGCAAAAGAAATAAATATGTCAATGAATAATATGTTTTTCAGTGTGCTATTAGAATAAGAAATCCATACTCGTCTGACGCAAATTAACTGATATATATTTTTAATCAAAATTTTGCAGGAGAGATTTCAAATATTACTTTCAAGCGCTAACTACACAGAAGTTGCATTTTTAAGTTTTTAAATGCAGTTTTCGATCCTTTCAGCATCTTTTATAAGTGCTAGGAACCGTCTTATTTCTCTAAATTTTCTTTAGCAGGGTAAGGAACAACACGTTCAATGGCACTTTTTTCGCACAATCGCTTTGCAGACATTTTATATATATACTTTACCTTTTATATATATACTTATACCTGCTATTCATGAGTCAGTACCCCCTGGATCTATATAACTATTATTTGTTTCTGTTCGTATAACTGGGCTCCCACTGTAAAATTTAGAATGATACGAAAGAAAATTCGAAAGTGCAATTTACTTTAAAAGTTTTATAATATCGATAATACCTGCTAATTGCATTAAAATTAGCTAACTACAGAGCACAAGAAATATAGTAAGACTAGAATTCCCTTATTGTGATTGTCGAGTTTAGTATTGTATGTGAATAAAAGTTTTGAATTGGTTTCGTCTAGTTGAACCTTGCTAATAGCCGAATGATAAAACACTTGCCGATAGTTTGATTTAGGTTCGAACACAGGTGAATGGGATAACTGCATCATAGGTGTTTCATGTAAAGTCAGTTTCCCTTAGAAAACCCTTCACGATGGCAGCCCTGGTATGTTTGCAATAAATAGCTCTACTATGTTCTGCAATATCCAAATAGTATAAACTATTATTTATTGACAATGAATAAATTACGTGTTTTGTTTTGTAAAAAAAAAAATAAAATAAAATAAAGTATCTTGTTGAATTTCAGTTTTTTAGAGGAAGGAAGGAATAAAAGATTATATATTTATTTCTAACTGAGCCAGCCATATGAACAAAACTTAATTTTGCTTCTTTTAGTTGAAGTAGAAATATATTGTGCATTTTGGTGAATCAAAAGGGTTTTACACTTCAGTTTTGCCTTAGAATGTCTGTTTTGTATTTTGTTTTGCGGAAATTAAAATCTTTATTTTTATTTTTTTTTTTTTTTTTTTTTTTTTTTTTTTTTTTGTTGTTGTTTTTTTGTTGCAAACCCTAGATGGGAAAAACATTCTCTGTATAAAAAAATAACAGTCACACATGGACGTAATAATAAATAAATATGAGCCTATAGGAAGCAAATTTGTTGTCAAGACTTTCTTTTAAATATTCAGATAGATTGTGATCATATTATCCCGGATCATATTATTATTATTCAACTAATTCGTTGAAATTAGTTGAATTTCTGTTACTTACTTCTACTTCAGTGCATGTTTATATAATTTCTAATATTCGCACTTTGATCATGTGTATTCTTGAACACATCAATATTCTTGAGAATAACATAACTGAAAGAAGATGAACCTAATCATGATCAGATCTACACAATTTTATTTTAATATTCGTTATCATTTGCATTTTTTTGAGCACAAACATAATTTTTTTCTTTTCATCTTTCAAAACTTTCACCATTTACACCCTTTAAAAATAACTGCATATTATTATACTGAAAAATGAAATTTAAGAATGTATAGAGTTCTTGGAAATCTGAATTAACTATATCGAAAACCAAATTATAAATATAAATATTTATAAAACTATATGTTTCTGCATTAGGTAACTATACTGAAAGTAATACTGATAGAAAATGTTTAGTAAAACTATGCATTGCCTCTATTTAACTATAATATTTTGAAAAAAAATTATATTAAAAATTTTCCAACTGCACGTACAAAACTTATATTCAATAAAACGCATCAAGAGCGTTGGCCCATCAGCAAACGAGCAATAAAGTCTCTGAATACTGATAATTCGGCTGAGAATTCGAGTTTCGGCGAACGAGCTCACTGCGTAGGCGTTTTCTTTGTTTTCCCCACTGTGCAACGTGTATATGAGACAGTTTCCCTCAGAAATTCCTCCACGAAGACATCTCTACCCTTAGGCAGGTAACCTTCGAGTGCTTTGCCATAGTCAAATTAAATAAAAATTTAAAAAATAAGTAAGCATCATGAGCATTTGACTAGAGTCTATGTTTAATTCTTTCTATATATAGAGAAAGAGAAAGAATTAAAGCTATATAGAAATATAATAAATATTTATATATAATAAATATTTATTATATTATATCTATATAATAAAACCATAAGCATCAATCTGTCAAAATCCGATGTCTTTTTTTCATTAATGCTCTTATAATTTTTCAACGCAGGAATTTCTAAGAGCACCTGTTTATTTGCTCTTAGCCCCCTTCCCTCAAATAAGTAGTGGAATAGTAAAATATACTGATATTTTCTTAGATTTTAAAGAAAACAATATCATTATGGCAGAATTAATAAACTTGCCGCTTTCCTTACTCATGGCTATACACAAAAGTGGAAAATTGCATGAAAAAAACTTAGACGTCTGTAATTATGATTAGCAAATAAACAAGTTTTTTGCTTCATATATTTAGTTAATTAGTTCTGTCATTATATCAAGTAAATTTTGAAATATTATTTATATCCATAGCATCAAATAAACTCAAGGATAAAAAATACCCGAAGTTGCAAACAAAATAAGAAATTTTCTAAGTTAAAAAGATTTTTACTTTATTAAAAGTAAACTATCTTGGGAACTATCGCAAATCATATTGTTTTAGTGAGAAAATATTCCTTTTATCCTAGCAAGCAATTGTATATAAGAGGTAAATTCAATAACTAAAGTGAAGGGTATTAGAAACACAAAAATATTTTGATATTACTGCCATATGCACATTGATTTCCAAAAAATTTAAATATATATATATATATATAAACATGCACACACACATGTATACATGCATAAAAATGGAAGTTTATGAACGGGAAAAAAATTAAACATATATATATTTTTCTTTTAAAGTCTTGACTTTTTCAGTTTCCCTCAAAATTTTCATTTGATAGCAAAATCCATAGCATAAAGCAAACAGTTACTGTTACAGGGTCAGATCGCTTTTGAAGCATTCTCCATCTCGAAAACTCCAGAAGGGCAAAGTTCTGACAGTGATTGATACTTTTACAGTCTTCACTAATTAGTTCATCTGCATGATTCTCCGCAGGTGGGGGGGTAAAAAAACTGCTTAACACTTTCGGTGGATACATTGACAGAAACCTTCCACACTTTTTGAAGCAATTTCTTGACAAAGCTGCTGACGCTTTACAAAACAATACCTTATCTCTTACAAAACCTCCGGAGTGTTAAATGTTAACTAAACATAATTTTAGCCTTCACAGAAATGAAGATTTCTATTTAATTTTCAGGACACCATTGCATGCTGACGTATTTGGCTCTTACAGCTGGTCTGCTAATGTTTGTGGTCGTAAGAAGTGGCTATTATTTCCTCCAGGGACGGAAGAACTATTACTAGATGACACAAAGAAAATACCGTATTCTGTAAATGAAAAAGAGTTACAACATCTCTGCATTCCTCATCTGAATGTTGTTCAGGAAACTGGAGAAATAATATTTGTTCCTAGTGGTTGGTATCACCAAGTACATAATTTGGTATGTTTTTCATTAATCTTCCATAACACTATGTATTCAGACCATACTTGGTGTTATTTGCATCTGACTACTTTTGTATAAAATTTCAGAAGTGAACAAAATGCTAAATTTAAGATAATAACTTTTACATGATTTGCTGTTTGACTTCTGCAATAATTTAAAAATGCATTTATTATTATTATTTTTATGATACAAAAATAATTTTTCTTCAGGAAATGCATTTTGCTTACATAAAAGGAAAAATGCATTAAATTAACTATATATGTATATGAAAATCAGTATTAAAATCTGTCAGAAAAGCAAATAGTTCATGTAAAGTATTTGCTTTTCTGACAGTTAATGTATTTGGAAACCAGTTAATATATTTATATTTTATAAGTATTTTTAAATTGTATGTAACAGAAGAATGTCTTGATTTCATTTTTTTTTTTTTTTTTACCCTTTACAAACTTGCAAGCTCTCCTGATTTAGGCAGGAAAATCACATTCTCATCTGTTTTATAACATATTTAATTTTTCATGATTTTTTATTAATTCAGTTTAATATTTAGTTATATTCACAAAAAAAAAAATGTGAAATGTTTAGCATGTGAAATCATTTGCTTTATCATTTGATTACTTTATATATATACTATGATTACTTTTATATACATATATATAAAGAAAAAGTTTCATTAACTGCTTACTGCTATGCATGCAGGACTAGATATGTCTAAAAACAAGTTATGTTTGGAAAAGTATGATTTATGTATATTAAATATAAAAGGAAAAATTAAATAATATCCTTAACTAATGAATTTGACGCCATTGCTTTTATTGATGATAAATAATCATGTGGTTCACCACATGATTATTTATGTAAAGAAAATGTATTGAATTTAGTAAAACTTATGTGTTTTAAGAAGTGTTTTCTCCCTTCAGGAAGACACTATTTCAATAAATCATAATTGGTTCAATGGTTGTAATATACTTCATATTTGGGACTGTCTACATTTAGCTGCCACAGATGTAGAAAAAGAAATATCAGACTGCAGAATTTATGATGACTGGCAAGAGCAGTGGCAGGTTAGTTTTAATTTTTATCTTTTAGGTGCATGAAAAAGAAAAACTGCTCTTGAATACTATTTCCTTTTAAAGTGAAAAATAATAAAATAGTCACGATTTTAATCTCTGCATTTTTATTTATTTGAATAAAGAGAAAAAGTATCATTGTACTGAAATTTGGTTCAACTTTTTTATATAATGAATGATTTTGAATAAATCCTTTTGTTTTCCAGGGTTTTGTTTGCAAGCAAAACCATCAGAACTCTAAAATCGATTTTAAGTTGAAATAAAATGATGATGCCTTGCAAACTGAAAATAAAGAAACTGATGTCTTTGCCCTGTAATTCTTATCTAGGGAATAAATTCAAGTTTTAACAAGAAAACTGAAGGCCATTGAAAAGAATTTTGTCACTAATAGTGGTTTCCTTAAACTTGATTTATAGCCTTGGAATGCTTTTTTGATTTCACCTACAAATTTGGAATATGAATATGATATTCAATTTGATTTAGGGTAGCTGCTGACTGTCACCAGCTTGTTCATTTTGATACAAGAGGGCAATCATTTTCAGTGCTGGTTAAAATTAAGATACAGTTAGGAATTCAGTTGGTAGGCACTTATAAAGGAAATATCCTTTGAAATTTTGTCAATAATTTGATTTCTTATAAAAATAAAATTGATCAACCTTTAAGTTATGTTCAGTAGATAAAATGAATAGAGTTTAGAAGAAGAAAAAAAATAGTGACTTAGTTATCTCTGAATTGAAATGCATACTGTGATTTTACTGGATTATCCATTAAGCCTGTTTATATCTTGGCTGATTCATCAGTCTGCAAAACTATCCTGGCTGATTCATCAGCCAGGAAATTGCTCTGTTTTTTTTTCGGGGGGGGAGGATGGGGAAAAGAGTTTAAAGTTGTTGATTCAAAATCCATATTAATAAATGCTTCATTACTCTTTCATATCATCATGAGAGTGTAATAATGATTTCCAACCATACACAATGGAGCAGGGCTTTACAGAACAGATGATACCACCCAAATTTTATATGAATCAGATTGTTAAGTAGAGTAGCAATCAAATTTCTTTTGTCTGAATTTCATTACTTCCTTCTTTAGTGATATTTTAATCTGTTGTTTTATCTTTCAATTCAAATATTGCCCTGTTGGTATGGTGGTAGGGAAAGCTGGCTGTCATAGCCTTGGTTTGAGGTTTGAATCCCGAAGAAAGCATGAGTACTTGTAAGTCTTTGTGGTATGGGAGCATTTGAAATACTGTTCAACCAAAAGTCCTATTGAGAAATCTATCAACAAGACCCTGGGAACCATTCCCTACAGTGTTCTCCTTCAGTAGGATGAAGCTTCTCATTTCTTAGAGTCTGTTTCTCAGAGGCTGACAGCCTGTGATATAAAAGTATGGCATTCTAAAATAAAAAAAGTGTTCTCACAGTCAGTCACCCTTTAGGCTATTGTTTCTAAGTGATGAAAGGGCTATATGACCAATGATTTCAGCCATAATTTCCAATGACTAGCAAGTGTCCAGCATTATGGAAATTGAAATATTTTAATTAAAAATCTGAAGGAACTCAAAATAATGATATCTGTGAGATAATAAAATTGTCAAAAATGCCATCTACTACACAGTATTTGCAATAAGCAATTGCTAATAGTGTTCATACATAGTATTGAAAGCATTACTAACTATATTATGAAGCATTACTATATTACTCATAACTTATTCAAGGTGTTTTTTTAAACAGGGTAGTGCACTATGTACATTCCTACTGTCTAATATTTTATATAGAGGTTTATGTCTGTATTGCAAAGCTTAAACTTTTTATTTTCTTTTAAGATGCTTTTGAAAGTACATCATGGAATGAATTATGCTAGTTTCCTGCAAGTTCTGGAAAGCATTTTAAGCTCAAGATTAACACAGCTGAAAACAGAGGATCTGACATCAATAAACTGGCATCATGTATTTGATATTGTATCTGTAAGAAATGTTTGTTTGAAAATGCGTACTGTAGAACTTCCTCTTGAGGTAAAAGAACAAGTTCATGTACTAGAATCTAAAATAAAAAGTTTTCTTACTGAATGTTCAGAACAAGGGAACTTTGAACAACAAAATGTATTTAATAACTTATAATAAATATTGAATTAAAAAATATAACTTTAAATTATTTTTGAAATATTTAATAAAATGATGAGTTATTAGTGGCAAAGTCATACTTTCCTAACATCAGCTCTGTCAGCATGGCCAAATATAGGGATATTGAGAAGCAAATGAGCAATAAGAACACACTTGAGAATTGGTAAATTTTTTAAATATTCCCCCAGAATGTCTTATTGGAATCACTTACTTCCTTTCTATATATTAGGCATGATCAAGCAGTTAATTTGTTGTACATTGATAGTTCAACCCAGAGTCAAATCTTAACATATGGTTAGGTTGCATGAGTGTTTTTATGGTTTTTCCTGCATTCAAGGTAAATATGAGCCAGTTTTCCATAGTAAGCACAAAGGTTAAGCATATAACCCTCATATTCTTTGCCATAATCAAATTAAATATGTAATGAGTCATCTGGAAAGCTCTCTTTTTTTTCTTATATATAAATATATATAGAAATAATTTATTTACTAAATAAATATTGATTATATTATCTCCTAAGATTAATTTTAGTAGAATTATCTTAAAAGAGTGAATCCATAGTTAGTAAGTTCAATTCCGAAAATTATTTTAAAGTAACTTGAATGTAAATTTTTAAAAGTGTTTAACGGGGACTTGAATTAAATCATGAATAACAAAATTTCAATTGTAAAAAGAAATAAAACAAAAGCAAGTAATTAAATTGAAAGCAAGTAATCATTGCCATTGATCGGAAATTAGTTGACTTTTCAAGGGGAACAAACCAACTCCCGTTCAATGAACAATAATTAAGAAATAAATACGAAGGTGTTTTGTCCTTTACTCAAGTAATAAGGTGGTGCCAAACTGGCAATACAAGCTATGCCAAATATTTCCATGAATAGAAGGGATCAAGAACCAATGCAGAGCACCAAAGAACTCATTCTGATTAAGCATTTTTGCTAATTCAGTTTTGAGTAAAAAGCAATTTCTGCAGTAAAATTGATAAATTACTCGGATAATTGTCCCCCGACACCGTCGTGTTTATGCATTTTAATTCAAAACTATTTGTAAAGATTAAACATTAGAAATCGGCATTATGAAATAGAACTCAAAGTAATTGAAATAAACATTAGAAAATTATGAAATATAAGAAATATAATGCAATCTTTGCAAAAACAAATCAAGAAATAAAAATTTAAATTTAAAATATATATAATAAGAAAAGGGAATGTGCATGAAGATATAAAAGGCCAGAAAAAGCATTAATTAACTTATGTTCTTTCTAGTGGGAAGTGGCAAAGTTTTCTTTGCGTCTGACTCAGAAGGGTTGCGTTTCCAAAATTCTTTATCAGTAGTGGGGGCTTTGAATTATATCAGTCGGTGAGACTTGTGTAAAGTAATTTATGGGAGTGGCTAGGAATTCTTGAGGGACGTATGTTGTGGCGTTCTTATTTGAGTGAGACCGTCTGTTAAAATTTTTTGAAAATGCTAGTGAATGGAAATTAATTAATTTCTGGCTAATTGTCGTGTCATAACGAGGAAGAAATTAAGAAAAGGAAAAGGAATTTTCACTGTCAAAGAGCTATTTGACAGACTAAAGATTATGAAATAGGCCCATGTTTTTAGTAACAGCATAAGTCTGAAGACAATTAGCATTTTACATTATATACAGCTTTGTAATTACACTACGTACAAATCCTTCAACTGATAGTAATCCAATTTATACCGCCTTCTCAGGTTTAGGAACAAATTATCATATCTCTATCAGTTAAATGATTTAGAGTGAGTATTTAATGCCTGCTCTTTTAAGGCAATGGTTAATAAATTGATTAGGTATTCGATTATTTTTGAGAATTTTAATAAGGAGCGAAATTTCGCATTGTAGATCTATCGTATCTGTGCAGATATTTTTAATTCATTGTATTTGATTTATTATTGTATTGTTAATTACTTTTTTGGATATGTCAGAATTCCAATTTATTAATTTGTTAGTATTGAAATTGAAGTTTCTTGTTTTATCAAAAAGTAAAATTTTTTTGTAGTTAATGATTTGAAGATCTAGATAGTCTATGTTATTTTTGTGAATTATTAGTTTTATTAAGTGTAAGGCAATTTGGATAAATCTCAGAGTATTCAATTTTATTAAAATTATTAATTGTAATAAGATCATCAATATATCTGTAAGTGTGCTTGTAGTAATTTAATTCTTGTGGTTGTAGATTTTTTTGGAAGTTAAATTCTTTGATAAATAAAAAGATATTACAGAGCGAGGTACATATATGATAAATATAAATGAAGCAGTACAAAAACATAAGAAAATTTCGTTGAGTTACATAAGCATTATTTTGTTCTATGACTTTTGGCCACCTCTAGAAAATTCCTTTTTTGTATAACAGTAGGTTTATTCATAAAGAAGTTATCAGTATGTTGTACGACAGTCTCCAAAGAAATTAACTTCAAGCCATTCAGAGAGATGAAAATTTGAAAGGGCAAGGTCTATTGAATATGGAATGACACAAAACATCCCAGCCATACTCAGTAAGTCTTTGTCTGACATTCATCGAAATGTGGGGTCGAGTATTAGCATGATGGAAGACACCTCAATGATTGATCATTGAGGTGTCTTCCATCATGCTAATACTCGACCCCACATTTCACCTCAATGATTGATCACCTCAATGATTGATCATTGAGGTGATCAGTTCTGGGCTTCAATTTCTGCTTTTAAAACAGTTATTTGGGAACAGATTTTTTTCTGAATTTACTGTCTGATTTGTTTGCAACAATTCATAATGTACAATATATTTGTAGTTCCACCATACGTAAAACATTACTTTATTGGGATGCAGCCCTCCTCTTGATGTTACTAATGGAGGTTCATCTGGCTTACCTCCCAAATCTTTTTTCTTTTATGCAATTATTGTATAGTATCCATTTCACATCTGCAGTGATGCTATTTCAAAAAATGAGCTTATTTATTTAATATCAACAAAGTATTTCATGCCAAAATTTGAACAACCTTATTCTGCTGTTTTAAAGCATGAGATACCCATGCATCCTAGCAGCTTATATATCCATTTTTCTTTCTTCAAGTGACCATGTACTGAGCAGAATATTTAGCCTACCTGATGCTTCCTGAACTGTAGAATATGGATTTTTGCAGGTACCTTCTTTTAATATGACATTATCTGCAGAGAATGGTCACCCAAAACAGGCATAACCTTCACAGCTGAAATTTCCACTCGTAAACTCTTCATACCATTTTGAACTGTGTCATCAGAAATAACACTTTATTCATATACAGAACAAATTTTATTACCAGTATGATTAGCATTTGTTCCTTTTTATTATAAGGAATGTAAATTGCAACTTCTATCTAATGTTGTGACACAGGTTTGTGCTTTTAGATGTACCTAGCATATCCTTTCAACTTCAGAGTTTACAAGTTCACAATGTAAGAAGAATTTTTGCCTGTTTTGTCAAGTTGTTTATTGAAAATTTATGAAGTGTCTGTATCCTAATTTTGTGATAAGTCTTAATTAATAATTTGCCAGAGTTTAAATGTCATGCATACCTAAAAATTTCAATGAGAAATCAGTTGAAGCCTGTAGGCTATTTGCAAAGAATATCTAATATGTTATTAATGCAAGGATAAGAGAGAAAAGAAAAAAACACAAAGGAGGTGTTGAACGAAACAAAGGAAAAAAAAAACTTTGAAAGGGGATTGGTGAGCCAAAAAATGCTTCGGAAAATTCTGGTGTCATTTCTTCTTATAATTTGCTCTGCATGTCATTTACATCATACATTAATTTTTACTCTAAAAATGCGTCTTTTTATATTGCATTTTACTTTAATTAAAAATTGTTTCTAATAATTTGGTATTATTTTATTTTGTACAAATACTCATTAAATTACATAATTCACATCATAGTTAAATTATTATTTATTAAATGTTATTACTATATAGAGAGAGATTACATATCAAATTATCCTCTAATATTGATTTTAAAAGCTATTACCATATTTCTCCTTTTCTAAGATGTCATCAATTGCAAGATGTACTTCTTAATTTCAATACTATCAAATAGATTAAAAAGAGTTGAATCTAAGAATATGAATTAATTAAAATATTAAAATAAATCTAACAAATTTTTTACATTTGAATTCAATATATTAACAGCATTATATATATATATCCAATGATAAATTGTGTTGTATCACTTTACTGTCAGAATATCATCATTATAATCCATTGATCTGCATCATAATATCAATATAGTACAAAGTCCGTTATCCGGACTTGTCGGGACTTCGGCGATTCTGGATTAGAGGTTTTACATCATCGATTTAAATCTGGTAAGATGGCATGCAGAAATTATTCGATTAAAAATATGAAATCGTAATTTATGAAATAAAGAGCAATTATGAGCTAAAGGATATCAAAATTTACAAAAAAAAGCTTAATATTTATTTGTGTACTTTATTAGACATTTCTTTCAATGTAAGTTGCTTCATTTTTTGTGCTAATACTTTCGCTTTAATTCTATAAACAGACATAATTTCTTGTTCATTTATAAAGTTCTACTTTTCAAGTCCTGTAATTGCTGTCTTGAGAATACTGATTAACTTGTCAATTGAAATTTTTTCGTTTTCAATAACTCTCTCCCAACTCTATTTTTTCATTCTCTGTCACTTTCTTCACTATCGGAAGCGGTATTTTCTGGATCTAGAACCATACTACAGATTTCGCCGTCTGTTGATTGATTGATGATTGGGGCATTGTCGTTGCAATGAAAAACTTCTGTTATATCATCTTCATTTATTTTCGCTTCTCCACATTTCTTTACAAAATTCGATAACTGGAAAATTTCACCTTTAGTTTGCGATGTCCGAAAACCTTCAAATTCGCGGCTATCATCTTCATCGTCTTCACCATGAAATATGGTAGCTGGCCATAAATTATGCCAAGCATTTTTTAACGTATCTGGAGACACATCCTCCCACGATATTGCGATGCTCCACACAGCAGATTTTATGCTAAAAAATTTCAAAAAGTCTTGAATAGTCTTGCCATTGTTCAAGAAATATAACATAGATTTTAAAAATGCTTCTTTATATTTGCATTTCAGCACGTTCACTATTCCTATATCCATAGGCTGAATACGTACAATTTGGAGGGAAAATTAATACGGATACATTATCTTTCACTAAAACTTTAAATGAAGTATGCACCGAACAGTTGTCAACAATCAGGACTATTTTTGAGTCATCAGGTAAACCAACCGAATTCAAATGTGGCCGTGCCTCAGGTATAAAATGATTTTCAAACCAATCGTTCATCAACACTTGTGTCATCCATGCTCTTTTATTTGCGTGATATATAATGGGGGAAATCGTTACTCCTTTGAATGCTCAAAGTCATGCATGTTTTCTGATTACAAAAAATTTGCACTTGTGCATTCCTGCAGCATTTGCGCACACTAAAATTCTTCGTCTCGCTTTGGAATCTTTGACACCAGTTGGAGCCTTTTCTGTAAAGGT